AGAGTATGAGGCAAGGTACCATGATCTCTCTGTCCATGCCATTATGATTCTACCTATTGAGGAGGAATAGATAGTTTGATGCTTTGTCCGTGGATTGAGGCTCCAGCTACATATTGAGCCTTAGTCTATGATATATGTGGGTCGTTCCTTTCTAGAGATTGTCGATCACGCCCCCACTATTGAGCAGTTCCATCGTGAGGTCCAATGGGGCAACGAGAAGAGAGCTAGATGTTAGGGCAGCTACAACTGATCATGTTCCAGGTTCAGATACACATATGATAGGATCCGAGAGTGGTTTCAAAAGGGCCAGTCCAAGCCTCAATACACATTTTAAAGGGTGACCGATATAGTCGGAGTGAGGTTGGCTCTAGTTAGATACATGAGTCCTAGTCTTGTGCTTCTGATTGTGGTGGATGTTCTTCTGGGAGTCGATCATCACCAGGTTATATTGAGTGTGGAGAGTTGTATCACTGGGACATAAATCGCTCTTTGCCTAGGCAGATTACTTCCGCTCCACAGGTAGCTCCACTAGTAGCACCTACAACAAGGGTCCAGTCAATGTAAACGCCTAAGTTTTGACCGAACCCTAGATTTTACACCATTTTTTTGCTTAAATTATTTCTTGTAGCTTAACATTTAATTATCTAAAATTTAATTCTTCCTAGTGAATTTATTTTTAAAGTGTTGAAAACTACAAAATAGAATCCCTTTTAAGGATACGTTTGTTTTAATAATATTATTATTACATTATTTTAAATGAAAGAAAACCTACCCATATATGCTTTTCAATTAAATATTATAGTCAGTAAATACTTTTAATTGATTTAAAAATTATAATTTTAAGAAGAAAATAAAGAAGAATAAGAAAAAAGAACATACAAAAAGAACAATTTTTTGAAAAAGGGGAAAAGAGGAAGAAACAAAAATGTGTAAAATAATAATAAAAAAAATATATTCAGTAAAAGAAAGAACAAAATGCAAAAAAAAAAATGAGAAAAGAAAGAAAAAGATAAAAGGGAAATATCTTCCTAATCCCTTTAGTATATTTATCCAAAACTAATCTCAAATCCCATAAAACTTTATCTCCTATTTTAAATCCAACTCAAACAGACAATCCTAAAATTACCTGAACTCTAAAATCTCACTCCTACACAATCCCTAATTCCTAGAAACTAGATGCCTATATATACTCAAGAAACGAATTAAGATACAACATACACGCATAAACCACGACAACAAAACAAATCTTCCTTTGTTTACCATTTTTTTAAAAGAAAAGTGTTTGAGAATTAGTGAGGTCAAGTTTGAGTCCTTGTTCGAGTTTTCATGTGCGATTCTTGATTCAAGAAAATATTTACGAAAGTTCAAGATTAAAATTTTTAAAGGTCCAACTCTTGACTAAACTCTATTTTGTTTGAACCATTCCACTAGCCTAAAATGACCCTTACAAACAGGCTGAAGTGGTGATATCTGGTGCAGATTAGCACCCAGAAATCAGACTTTTAGCGACAAGAAATGTACTTTCAATGACCCGATCTCAGATATTTATATTGCGAACATGCATCCTCATTTCTTATTTTCAAAAGGCTATTTCCCCTCATCCGAGCTCCAAATTGAGTGATTCATAGTCCTGTCTGATCGTTGAGAGTGTGGCTACTTGAGTTTCTGACTAGAATCTGTTGAGGAACCCCATCGCTTCCTCATTTCTTTATTTTTTTTGTCTAAAAAATCTCTCTCTAAAAAAATTTCTCTGAAGGAGACACTACCAGTTCTGCCAGAATGGCTGTGCAACCGCAGGTGGAGCCTTGCCGAACCTATGACAAAAGATGGACAATAGTATCATGCACAAAACCCAACTGGAATCACATGTTAATTCCTTTCCTAGCTCTACGAATCTGAGAAATAGTGTCGTGATCCCTGTTCAAATTTCTGAAGAAGTGCTACTTTGGGCACAAAAAAATATTTCCATGTCGCAGGTTGGTTAGCTTCATCTAGTTACGATAGATGGAGATGAATTCCCATATAAGGATATATCTACCTACAAATATTCAACAAATTCCACCTTGCCAATCCTGAGTTCTACTATAGCAATTTTAGGGGAAATACAATGGAATCGCCTGAGCTGCGCACTAGATTTTGAACTCATTCCAAGGAGATAAACAACAAATTAAGCACATGGTAGGATTCACCAGGTCAAGGCGCATCTAAAGATGTAATGATAGCCAATTCCAACGACGATGAAAGTCTCAGCAGATTTCTGTTGAAGATGTCGGAGCTCCAGTGAGCCAAGAGTTTCAAACCCAACACCAAAATGATTAGGAAAGGGAGATACACCACCCCACCTCTAAAATCTCAAGTGTGGATGCATTATACGAATCAAACAAGGGGATCATAATCCCTGAAGAACAATAGAGGACAAATTTGGACAAGGAAGTTCAGGTCACAGAGCTAAAAGATTCCCATAGTGATATGAGACAGCTGAATGATCAAAATAGGAATTCTAATCGAGAACAAATTGAGGAAGCTCAAAGCTCCTCGATTTTTTCCTTTAGAGCAGCTAAATGTGATCTTGCAGATGAAGAAGCACCTCGAGTGAGTCAACATGGAGAAAAAAGGCAGGAATCAATGAAAGTAAATGAAGCTACCTTCCACCCCTGTTCAGCAAATGTGTAGCAACCAAGAAATCCAAGGTAAGTATTCTAACACTTCTTCAAATCCTATGATTTCTAACTCAATAGGTGTAGTTGATACTCAAATGCAAGTCATTGCATGTGAGAAAATTTGTGATCATGTAACTTCATATATGCATAATTGTGATCAAGGGACTAACACTTCTGATATACCTCCTTCAAATAAGCCCACAACAATTAAAACACCAAGGATTATGATAATAGTCATCAGTCTAAAAAACTTCCCACTTCCACCCCTTATGACCTCAAAACACTTACTTCCAATTTTGAGAAATATACGCTTAACCTTCAGAATAAACAACATGTGCATTAAGAAAACTCCCAAAGAATCACCAATCATGTGACTTCCTCCAATACCTACAAAAATAAGTTGTCCCTGAACCTGGTCTATTTATAGTCATTCAGTTTGGTTGAGAGCCAACCAAACCAAGAATGAAGTTCCCATTGAGCTTTCTATCCCAAAAATCACTACTAGACAAGATCTTTCTACAGTTAACTTCAATAAGGATGCTTACATGGTAAATCTAGTTGCTAGATGTAGATTTACTTTTGTGGGAAAATTAACCCACACTATGCCTAAAATTGAGCTCATTCGCCGTAGCTTCATCCTCCAAACTCAATTAACGGGAGGAGTCAAGATAGCTCATTTAAATGTAAGGCACATTTATATAGATCTTGATTATGAGGAGGACCATGTCATTGTTTGGAAAAAACAATAGATGTATATTGAAGGGCAACTAATGAGATTGCAAGTCTGGACTCCTACCTTTACTCTGTAAGAAGAAACTCCCATTGTTCCTAAATGGATTACACTTCCTGAGTTTCCTTGGCATTCCTATAACAAGGAATTTATCACAGCCTTGTTATCTCCTATTAGTAAGACCTTATACTTAGATGCAGCATCTCCTCAGAAAACTAGAGGAAGTGTCACAAAAGTAACGTTACAAATGGATGTTACCAAGGAAAGAACCCCCCCCCCCCCCCCCATGTTTGGATGGGATTTGATGAAAAGTACTTTCCTATTGGTAAATGGCAATCTATTCAATATGAGGAGCTCCCTGATTATTGTTCCTATTGCAAACATCAAGGCCACCTGTTACATATGCGCAAATCAAGCTAAGGGATGAAGACAAAAAGAGGAGAAAGGAAGTTGAAAACAAGATCCATCTAAACTTTCCAGTTCCACCAACCCCCCTTCCCCTCCCTGTGGCAGAACAAACACCAGGCTCTATTCATCAAAAAATTTCAATTGATTAGTACAATTATTTGGAATGCTAGGAGTAAAAATACCTAAGGTGCAATGGAAAGAATCAAATCTCTCAAAAAGATCCATCATACAATTATTATTGCTATCATGAAGCCTTTTACAGACAACTATCAAATTCAAAATTTCAAAACTCAGTTAACAAGGGAGTATGCTGGTCATAACCAATGGACAAATTTGGTTGTTTTGGCCTCAGGATGTGGATTGTAACATTATTGACAATGATGAGAAACAAATCACTTGTGAGGTTAGTACCCAAATTGTTAGTGTACCAGATCATGACACCCGTTCCAATATATATATGTCGGTACGTGACATCCGATTGACCATGCAATGTTAGTGTGTTGGATTGTGACACCTGTTCTAACATATATGTCGGTACGTCACATCTGATCCAATGCAATGTTAGTGTGTCGGTACGTGGCACCCGATCCAATTAGCACAAAACACAAGAACAATCACATCTACAACGTACAATACTCACATCATATAGTCAAGCACTCAAGTTCATGGCATGCATTGTTCATAATCAATTCATTAGGTTCATTCCCACTTTTAATGCTTTGCATACACACATGCATACAATATCACAAAAAGACAATATCAGAATATTTCGACCTCAACCTCACAATAGAAATAACCAATCTCCTAGCCCTAGTTCATTGACTAAGACTTCCTCTTACGCCATACTTCTGATGTAACCCCTAGGCTACAAATACAACCATTCTCTTTTTGGTGCACGAAAGCATACGCATGAGTTCTACTGTCAAGTTAATTATATCACGCAGTGAATAACAGATTCATAACTACTCAATTAATAAAACCTGGGCGCAAAGCATTCGCTGAGGGATTGTAGATAAATTTTTGGTTTTCGGACAACGAGACGGAGCATTTTGACCGAAAATCCGCAAGATATCACCATCCCCGCACTAGAAATCCCCTTCTCCTTCTTTCCCAAGCTTAGAGCAGCTTTTAGAGGGTTTCTGGGTGATCCACGCCTCTTTTAGGTGTTTTAAGAAAAAAGAGAAAATCAAACTTCGCGTTATTTACATTTTGTCTGGCCTATCGCGCTCTGGTGGCCACTTATCCTGTGGTGGTGCTGCCGCCCTAGCAGCATCTAGCCCGCCCTGGCGGGACAGTGGTCCCAGTGTTTTTCTTGTATTTCGTTTTTCCTAAATAACGACGGTTCGGGTCGTTACAATTATGCCTATGTCAGAGATTATGCCTATGAGTATGTTGTTGTCTTTTATGCTTATAGTTTATGTTTTATGAAGTATATCTTATGATTATGGCATATGTCTTATGTTGACTAACCCTTATGTTATGCTCTTATGTTAGCTATCATATTTAGTACATTTTGTACTAACGCTTACTCTTGCCTACATTCTTATCAAATGTAGGTTCCAACGATATTGAATTCCATTTTCGTGGCTAGGTTTCTAGTAGAGCAAGGAGTTGAAGACTTGGTGAGTCCTCATAGCATCGAGGATGTGATCACTTTTCTTTTATGTTTTAGACTTTTGTATGGGCAGCGTCCCAAAGGTTTATGCAAGTTGTTTTAGATGGTTTGAGACAAATTGTTTAAGACTTTCGCTTGGTTTTATAAAAGACTTTGATTGTATGGAAAGAGTTTTAAAATTTATGCATAATTTCTATTGCTATATGTTATGATATGCTAAAGGGCTTGTATGAGGCCTCTCCGGGTCTTGTACGCCTTGGTACATGTAGGGTACACCCCTGGGTCGTGACATCTTAATTCTTCCAATACCAGAAATTTAATAGTATTCAAATAATATAATACACCTAATATTGAATTACATATCTTAATATATCAAAACATGAATAATAATGCGATAACCAATAAAAACAATGCAAAATCGACATTAATTAATTATGCACCATTACTGTCAACTACAAAAATTCTCATTAACTTGATTAAAAATTGATTTATTAATCTATTTTCATCCCAACATCACATCATCATTGTCTTATGATTTTCCCTAAAATCATTTGGTCGTAATTCATTCATAATTGGACACGTCAATTAGTAACAATTCATAATTGGACACGTCAACTAGTAACAATCACGTTCACAACAACATCGATTCATTTTGGTTCTTGCCCATGATATAATACTATTTTCCTTTACGAACACTGCACAATTTGTTCATTTCCTTGCAACATATAATATGTAAAATGGACTTAAATTTTGAAGCTCTCACCTGAAAGTCGTCATCACGCTGCAGGTAAGTTCTGAATCCTTTTCTTTTCCTTTCTAAAATAAACCCTACTAACTTATTTTAATATATACATGGGCCAAATAGTATAGGATCCTAAAATAAATTTTGAACTTGGCCCATTCATCACTTACTAAAATTAATTATTTTAAATTTTTTGTAATACCTGACTTATTACAAGTCTAGATTAGAGAATTTTATTGTAATACTGCTCGTGTTTGGAAATATTGATTTTGAATTAATGTTTGGTAATGTAATATTTTTAGTCTTTTTCAAAAATGTCTTACATATTTATGGAAAAAAAATCTTAATTACTATATATTTGTCTGTTATTTATAAGAGTTTATGGTTTATTAATATTTTAATGAAGATTGTGAGACCTGTTATATTAAGGAAATATTATTTTATGAGGTAGGATTCATTCAAAATAATTTTCTATTAATTTTAATATATTTCAAAAGTTATATGTAGTTTGCCACGAACTTATGTAATACATGAATACTTATATAAGGGGATAAAAACTAATTAAGTTGACACCATCACTTCCACGTGGAAGTGGTGGAATAGTGTAGCACATATATGTATCATCCTTTAAGATAGTGGTTAATTGAAGGCTATTCTAATTTTTATAATCCCACATCTACAATTTTTTGAATTTCATTTCATTTTTAATTGCACCTTCAGAAACTAATTTCCTATATACAATAACATGGAGCCTCAATGTTCAGTCTTATGCTACCAGGTTGAGAGCCAACCAAAATAAGAATGAAGTTCCCATTGAGCTATCTATCACAAAAATCACTACTGGTCTTTTTGTTGTTATCTTCAAAAAGGATGCTTACATAGTAAATCTAGTTGCTAGATGTAGATTTACTTTAATGGGAAAATTCACCCACACTATGCCTAAAATTGAGCTCATTCGCCAAAGCTTCATCCTCTAAACTCAGTTAACTGGAGGAGTCAAGATAGCTTATTTCAATGTAAGGCATATTTATATAAATCTTGATTATGAGGAGGACCATGTCTTTGTATGGAACAAACAATAGATATATATTCAGGAGCGACTAATGAGACTGCAAGTCTGGACTATATATTGGAAGAAGAAACTCCAATAGTTCCTGTATGGATTACACTTCCTGAGTTTCCTTGGCATTGCTATAACAAGGAATTTATCACAGTCTTGTTATCTCCTATTGGTAAAAACTTTTACTTAGATGTAGCATCTCTTCAAAAAACTAGAGGAAGTGTCACAAAAGTAAGGTTACAAATGGATGTTTCCAAGAGAAGACCCCCCCCCCCCCATGTTTGGATGAGATTTGATGAAGAGTACTTTATTATTGGTAAATGGCAAGCTATTCAATATGAGGGGTTCCCTGATTATTGTTCCTATTGCAAACAGCAAGGCCACCTGTTACATGTGTGCAAATCAAGCTAAGGGATGAAGACAAAAAGAAGAGAAAGGAAGTTGAAAACAAGATCCATTTAAACCCTCCAGTTCCACCATTCCCCCCCCCCCCCCCTCACTTCCCGCGACAGACCAAACACCAGGCTCTATTCATCAAAAAAATTCCAATGATTAGTACAATTATTTAGAATGCTAGGAGTATAAATACCCAAGGTTCAATAGAAAGAATCAAATCTCTCAAAAAGATCCACCATACAATTATTATTGCTATCAGGGAGCCTTTTTCAGACAACTATCAAATTCAAAATTTCAAAACTCAGTTAACAATGTAGTATGCTGCTTATAATACCAATGGACAAATTTGGTTGTTTTGGTCTCAGGATGTGGATTATAACATTATTGACAATGATCAGAAACAAATCACTTGTTAGATTAAGACTACTATGTTGCCTCAGCCTTTTCTCATCTCTTTTGTTTATGCTAAATGTAGAGACTCTCTTAGAAGACCCTTATGGGATAGACTTCTACATCATGCTAATACTATCTTACCTTGGTGTTTTGTGGGAAATTTCAATGTTATTACTTCCCTGTAAGAAAACCTTTGAGGATTACTGTAACACCCCGGAATCAAGGAGTCTAAAAATGGGCCAAAGTGGGAAACTCACAAGCCCAAGAAGTGGACCATGAAACCCTCCACGGAGCCCCAGATGGGCCATGAAGGGGACCACGGTCCTTTAAGGGGCTCGTGGTAGGTTTCAAGAACCTGCCCCATGCATGCTTCACTTTGACGAACGCCTAGACGGACCATGGTGAGGTTGACGGGCCGTCAAAGTATCGTCAAGTGGGTCAAGTTAGTAGGGGTCCTCCCTTAGCTGTTGGCTAAGGGCCATGAGCATCACAACGGCTCGTGAAGCCCCATATGGACTGTGAGGTCGTCCTAGAAGGGTTTTCAATAGACTTAGAGTTTAGGGTCAACTTCAACCAATCATATCTTTTAGCAAAAAATGAATTAGGTGGCCCATGACCTATCAAATTAAAGGTCTCTAAGTCCTCTTTCCAACGCCACCGCGTTTGCCCAACTACCATCTCGGAGTAAACAGTTATGCCCAAAATAGTGAAGCACTGTCAGGCTGAATTTCTTCAAGTCCCATTTGACGGACCGTGGTGGTCATGACAACCCGTGATGGGCTTCCACTAAGCCAATTCGGAAGTTTTTAAGTTAGGGGTTATTGGGTCGTTTCCCAATTGTTTTAACTCAATACTAAGTCATTTTTTCTTCAACCCAAAGCCCTATATAATGATTCTAAACCCCCAAATCACCCAAACTAAGTTCATTCTCTCAAATTCTCAAAAGAAGATTAAGCTCCTCCTTTCAAATATTTCTCCCTCTAGAACTTGAAGAAGAAAAAAGAGTTGAAGCTAGGATAAAGGTCAAGTCTCCATTCCTCAAGCATTTGTGGGATTTGTTATCATAATAGATTTTCATCTATGGAATCCTTTTATCCATGGAGTCTCCAATATTCCCCAATTGAAAAGTAGAAATTCCCCAATTTGAGTTAGGGTTTTCTTCTAATGTTGTGGGTCTTGATGAATGTTGATCGAATTGAGTGGATTATGATTTTTTATGATTGAATTGCTGGATTACATGTTTTTAGGATGAATTTTAAAAAATGTACCCATGCCTAACCCATGTCTAAAAAGATAAAATTGATGTAAATGAGTTTTATGCCATGAAAGGAGAATTTTTGGGTTTAGATGTATTCTTATAGGATTGATGAGATACATTAAGAATTGTTTGAGATTGAAGCATATATGATGATTTATGATTAGAATTATTTTGAGATTTAGGCATATATGATTAGGATGAGGTGTAGGGCTTTGGAAGTAAAGCTTCTATTATGAATTGATGATTTAGATGTTATTTTTGTGGAAGGGATAGTTCCCATATAAATTGCTTATGTATGAATGTGAATGGTTTTCACACATTGAATGATTCTAGGTTGAAAGGCTTGCTCACCTAAAATGAATCTAACAACTTATGAGTTATGGTAATAAGACATAGCTTGGATTGGTAATGTGATGCCTTTCGATGGATAGCTTGAATTGGTAATGTATACCTTTCCATGGATAGCTTGGATTGGTACTGTGATACCTCTATGGATAGCTTGAATTGATAATGAGATTCCTCTTCATGGTAGCTTGAAGTGGTAAGGAGATGATACCCCTTCATGTTAGCTTGAATTGGTAAGGAGATGATACCTGTTCATGGTAGCTTGAATTAGTAATGAGATTCCTCTTCATGGTAGCTTGAAGTGGTAAGGAGATGATACCCCTTCATGGTAGCTTGAATATGTAAGGAGATGATACCTTTTCATGGTAGCTTGAATTGGTAATGAGATTCCTCTTCATGGTAGCTTGAAGTGGTAAGGAGATGATACCCTATCATGGTAGCTTGAATTGGTAAGGAGGTGATACCTTTTCATGGTAGCTTGATTTGGTAAAGAGATGACACCTTTCCATGGTAGCCTGGATGGTAATGATGATGTGCTCTTCCATGGACAATGGCTTAGCTTGGATTGGCAAGATGACGTGCCTTCCACGGATAATGAGAACAACTAAGAATTCACTACTTCTCACATCAAGTTAGCATAGTTATTATGAAACAAGTTTACTTCAAGGAAGTATCGTAAGTATATTTTAAGATGAGATTCACTTGTGTTGATCATGGTTTATGACTTATGTTGTTTAAATTTTATGCTTATGTTGATGTTTATGCAAGCAATCATATTTAATACATGTTTGGAAACTGCAAACTCCAATTTTCTGCCAGAGAAGCTGAAACTTGCTGACTGGTAAAGGCTTAGTAATATATCATCCAAATGTTCTTCCATCTTGCAGTAGAAAAGAGTTATATCTCCATCTTTTTGCACTTCTCTCAAGAAAAGGTGAAACTTAATGATTGGTAAAGGTTTAGTGAATATATCTTCATATTTTTGCACGTCTCTCAAGAAAAATAACTTGATTTTGATGTTTTTAGTTCTTCCATGAAACACAAGATTGTGAGATATAGCTATTACTGCTTCATTGTCCACGAACACTTTCATGCTTCCAGTCGGTTCCATATGCAAATCAACCAGAATTTTCTTAAGCCACAATGCTTGATTTACTTTTGTTGCAGCTGCCACAAACTCAGCTTCGGCAGTAGATTGGGCTACAATATCTTGTTTCTTACAACTCCATGAGAAAATTCCAGAACCAAAACTAAAATAGTACCCTGAAGTACTCTTTGCATCACCCTCGAAACCGCCCCAATCACTGTCGGAATACCCACAAAGCTTCACAGGTTGACTCTTCTGAAACTTGACTCCATAGGTGATGGTTCCTTTGAAGTATCGCACAACTCTTTTGGCTGCCGGAAAATGTACTTCACTAGGACAATGCATGAATCTTGATAAAACACTTACAACATACAATATATCGGGTCTTGTTGTTGTAGGATACATTAAACACCCAATGAAACTTCTGAAGTATGTCTGATCCACCTTTTCGGCTCCATCATCTTTACTTAGTTTCTCTTTTTGGTTTATGGGAATACTAATCTCTTTGCAGTTTTCTATTTTGAATTTCGTGAGAATTTCCTTTGCGTACTTTTTCTGGTAAACAAAAAACTCATATTTTCGTTGTGTAATCTCCATTCCAAATTTATGTCATAAGACCAAGATCAGACATTTCAAAAGCTTGCATCATATCTTGCTTGAACTCATCAATTAACTTTTCACTGCTCCATGTAATCAAAAGGTCATCCACATAATGTCAAAGATTATGATGAAAAGGTTTGAATTGCTGAAGAAGAGCATATTTCCAGGAACACTGAAGAATCCAGAACTTCTCTTCATGCAATTAAATACTGAATATATCAGAAAATTCTCAAGATGGAGGAATCTATCCTCAAGCAGAAAACTCAATTACAAAGTTTCGAGGAGGGATATATGAACTCTGCTTATTTTAACTCTTTGATAAGAGGCAGGAGAAGGAAGCTTCACATCCATAAGATTCCAAATTATCAAGGTGATTGGGTTCAGGGTGAGGAAGATATTGCTAAAGTTGCTAGTGATTATTTTCAAAATATCTTTACTGGTGAGGAGAAGTTTATCCATGAAGAGGCTCTGAATTGCATTCCTAGAATGATTCAAAAAAATAATCTTCAAGTTATACCAGCTATGGAAGAATTCAAATGTGTAGTTTTTCCATGAACCCCAACTCTGCAGCTGGTCCTGATGGTATGAATGGGAGGTTTTTCAATCTTGCTGGGATATCATCAACAAAGATCTACTGTCAGCAAAAGAGGTATGGTATTATCTCAAGACAGAGTATAAAGGATATGAAAGAACTCAAGGGATGCAAGTGCTATATTTAGTACGTGAGTTTGAGCTGCAAAGTATGAAGGAAAGTGAAACCATAAAGGAGTATTCTGACCTACTTCTTAATATAGCAAATCAGATTGTTGGATTCCACTTTTAACGATTCAAGGATTGTTGAAAAATCCTTGTAATAGTACCTGAAATATTTGAGGCTACTGTTACAACCTTAGAAAATACTAAGGACTTGTCCAAAATTACACTAGTAGAGCTTTTAAGTGTTTTTCAAGCACTAGAGCAACGGCGTGTAATGACACACGAAGTAGTTGTTGAAGCAACCCTATTAGTTAAACATCAAGATCATGGAAGAAACAAGAAGAAGCGGAACAAGAAGATGCAAGGACATAATAGTGAGAATTTTGCTAAAAGCAAGAAGGCTAACTATCGTCCTTGTCGGTACTGTCGAAAAAAGGGCACCCTCCTTTCAAATGTTGGAGGAGACCTGATGCAAAATGCAGGAAGTGCAATCAACAGGGTCACGAAGTTGTAATTTGTAAAGCCAAAATTCAGCAGCCTGAAGTTGAAGCTCAAGTTGTTGATCGAGAAGAAGAAGATCACCTCTTTGTTGCAACTTGTGTCACAAGCCTAGATTCAAATGAAAGTTGGCTAATTTATTGCACTTGCTCTAACCACATGGCTGACATATGATAAGATATTGTTCAAAGAGTTGTGAAACACTGAGACAAAGAAAGTTAGAATTGGAAATGGAGAGTGTCTTGCTCTCAAAGGCAAGGGCACCAAAGCCATTAGAGTGGCTCTAGAACTAAGTTTATCCCAAATATTATGTATGTTCTAGACGTTGATTGAAACCTTCTCAGTGTTGGTCAATTAATGGAGAATGGATTCAATTTGTTCTTCAAAAAAAACCTTGTGTGATAGAAGATCCATCCGGCGATGAGATATTCAAGGTCAAAATGGAGGGGAGGTATTTCCCACTCATTCCTTTTGAAGAAGAGCAGACAACTTTTCTTATGTCAGGCAACTCTACAAAAGTTTGGCATAAAAGAATGGGTCATTTTCATTGTTAAGGTATGATGTTCTTTCAAAGAAAGGAACTTAAATGATACCAAGATTGCATAATCGGTGGACAAATTGCCAAGCTTGTTTACTTGGAAACCTTTCCCAAAGCAACTTGGAGAGCATAAAAAAAACTTCAGCTCATTCATATAGACTTGTGTGGACCTCACAGAACGCCATCTTTAAATGGTATTCTTTACTACATTGTATTTATTGATGATCTAACAAGACTGACCTGGATTTTTTATCTTAAAATTCAAGTCAGATGTAGCTGATGTGTTTTGGAATTTTAAGGCAAAGGTGGAAAATCAAAGTGGCTGCAAAATTTTGACTTTAGGTCTGATAATGGGAAGGGGTACTTTTTAAATCAGTTCAAATTACTTTGTGAAAAAGCTGGTGTAGAACATCAGCTAACAGTCCCTTATACTTCATAACAAAATGGAATTAGTGAGCAGAAAAATAGAACTATAATGTAGATAACTAGGTGCATGCGACATAAGAAACATCTACCAAAAAGGTTATGGGCGGAGGTTGCCAACACTGTTGCTTTTTTGAAAAACAGACTTCCTTCTAGATCTGTAAAGGATAAAACACCATATGAAGCATGGTATGGTCATAAACCCTCATTGCAATTTCTCAAAATTCTTGGCTACTTGTGTTTCGCTTATATACCACTGGTTAAAAGAGATAAGCTTGATAAGAAGGCAGTTCCTGGAATCTGTATAGTCTACAATATTTTCTCCAAAGCATAAGGTTTATGAACCTCAAATGGAGAAAATTGTCTCAAGTAGAGATGTCCAGTTCATTGAGGACCAACAATGGAATTGGCAGAACACCGAAAACAATCCACCCATTGACAGTCTATTAGATCCAAAAGATCTAGTAGATGCTCCTCCTGTTAGAGGCATGTGGTTGATCTCTAATATCTATCGGAGACACAATACTACAATTTGTGAGCCCGCAAGCTATGAGGAAGTAGAAGGCGATGACAAATGGGTGGCAACAATGAAGGAGGAGGTGATGATGATCGGAAAAAATCAAATTTGGGTGCTTGTTGAGAAACCTCTAGACAGAAAGATCATTGGTGTAAAATGGGTCTTCAGGACAAAGCTAAATACTAATGGCTCCATCAACAAACACAAAGCAAGGCTTGTAGTGAAAGGTTGCGCTCAGATCTTTGGAGTAGACTACTCAGAAATTTCACACCAGTTGCTCGACTTGATACAATCAAATTTCTACTAGCCACTGCAGCGGAAAAAGGTTGGAAAGTTTATCAACTTGATGTTAAGTCGGCCTTTCTCAATGGCCTTCTCCAGGAGGGGATTTATTTTGAGCAACTAAATGGTTTTGTTGTCAAGGGGCAAGAAAATAAGGTTTGTTTGCTAAAGAAATATCTTTGTGGTTTAAAGCAAGCACAAGAGCTTGGTATAGCAAGATTGACGATCATTTGCTAATTTTAGGATTCAAGAAGAGCCTATTTGAGTCTACACTTTATATTAAGTGTTCATGTGTAGTTATACTTATTATAATGTTGACGATCTCATTGTCACAGAAAGTAATGTTTTCCTAATTGCGGACTTCAAGTTGGAAATTATGAAGGTCTTTGAAATGACAGACCTTGGACTGATGGTGTACTTTGTTGGAGTAGAGTTCAAAAAAATGAAGACAGTGTGTTCATTTGCCAGAGAAAATATGCTCAAGAAATCCTAAAGAAGTTTCATATGGAAGACTGCAAAGTTTCATATGAGTACTCCAATGAATGAAAAAAAATAAATTCCAAAGATGATGGAATAGAAAAGGTGGATGAGGCATATTATAGAAGTCTCATTGGTTGCTTGATGTATTTTACTGCAACTAGGCCTAATATTCTATATGGAGTGAGTTTTTGTCTCGGTTCATGCATTGTGCAAGTGATTTACACTTTATAGAAGCTAAAAGAATTATCATATACATCAAGGGAACTATCAACTATGGTGTTAAGTTTTACTAAAGTCAGAAGTTTAGACTTAACAGATTCTCCGATAGTGATTGGGGTGGTGCACCTGATATGAAGAGTACTTTAGGTTTATGTTTCAATCTTGAGTCAGGACCTTCTCTTGGTATCCAAGAAACAAGATATTACTACAATCAACAGCCGGGGCAGATTATTGTTGCAACAACAACAGCTGTGAATCAAGCACTATGGTTGAGAAAAATTATGTGTGATATGAATATGAAGCTAAAATAAGGGACTGAGGTTTTTTTATTGATAACCAAGCTGCAATTTCTATTGCTAATACTCCAGTTTTTCATGCAAAAACAAAGTGTTCCAATATTTAGTAGTTTTTCTTAAGAGGCGTTTAGAAACATGGAGATGTGAAACTTCTTTACTAAAGGAGAGATGATCAGGTTTCCCCCTTTCCCTCTTCCAGACTTCTCAGATCTTGATAAAACATCACAATTATTAATGGGGTGGGGTTGATGGAGTATTGAGTCAACACCTTGCTTATTGTTGGCATCCTTGCTTTGCTTGTCATGAAATACTTTATGGGCAACACTTGGAATGAGGACAGCAACACTACCATGGGGTTGAGGGATGGGAAGCGTTGAGTCAATACCTTGCTTATTGTTGGCTTCCTTGCTTTGATTGTCCTGATAAACTTTAGGGTTAACACTGGGGTGGGGATTGCAACACTACAATGGGGTTGAGGTGTGGGGATCATTGAGTCAATACCTTTTTGTTGAATTTTTTGTTGATCCTGGTGAGTTCTTGATGGTTGTTCTTTGGTACCAGAAACACTACTAGAAATATTATTTTTAACAGGTTGAGAATTAATTGGTAGAGTAGTTACATGAGTGTCATTTCATTGTGTTGTTTTGGTTTTTTCTTGTTTGCTACTTCAGCCTCCTTTCTTCTTCTATATTAATCATCTCTCCTCTTGACTTTACATGTATGAACTTTATGGCCTTGGTGTTTGCAATAATCACTATCTTGACTTGTTGGAGCCTGTGGAAAAATAGATGTGCATGCAAATATGCGCTGGTGGTATTGTTAGAGTTGCCCAAGGTGATTTAATCTATGCTAATGCTACTCCACTAGGCCATGGTACCAGTAACCACACATGGATTGAAGCTGCTCAATGGGGTATATCTTGGTGTCTAAATAATGGTTTTAACCAAGTGATTTTGGAAGTAGACTCCGAGTTAGTGGTTCACTGGATAAAACAACAAGCTGCTCTACCTTGGAATTTGTAGCATGTTGTAGCTAACCTTAAGAGAAC